ATGAGAGGGATTTTAAAACCTTGACTGATACAAGAAGTAGCAGATTCATATCTTATTTTGGAGCTTATGCTCACACGGTGGTTTTCAGAATTGTAGCCGTACATCAGTATTACTTAGAGGGCTTTAAAAATACAGATTCTTGGGTCCTACTCACATAGTTTTTGCTTCAGTAGGTCTGGGATTCAGACAGAGGATTTGCATTTCTAACAGGTTCCCAGGTGATGCTGTTCTTCCAGGGACCTCACCTGGAGAACCACTGTACTCATTGCCTGGAAGCAGGTGGAAGCACTGTCTGTCTGTCCCTCTTGCTCTCTTTTATTTTTAGGCTGAGTGGGTGTAGTTGAATTAGTTTAAGTTAAGTGAGGGGGTTGCGGCTCAGCCATCTCTTTTTAAAATATTTATGTATTCATTATTTATTCATTCATTCATTTATTTATTTATTTAATAAGCCAACTCTTTATCCTGTTGCTCACCTTACTACTTGACCCAGAACAAGTAGTTGGCCCATTCAATACATGTTTGTTGAGTGAATGACTTATGAATTAACATATATAAAGGGAGGGATTTTTAGCACATGGACAACATTATTGTATGTACCTGTCCTATATGAGATGCTTATTTTCCTGAAGGCAGGCAATCTTTACATTAGAATAGGACCATATATGACAATGATCATGGACATCGAGAAGTATGCAGTTAGGTGCATTTTGAGAAACTTGCATTTTGGGACCCATACTATGAATGTGGTGTGTGTGTATAAACGTAGCTGGGTGCTGGAGTCCCATCTGATTTAGAATGGCCTACGAACTCTTGCAGGTTGTGGATTAGGTCAGAACCAACTCCTGCCCCAGGCAAGCTTGAGTGGCACTTGGATCAGTTCATGTCTGCTCCAGACCAGACACTGCTTCTCACTCCTTTCCCCAAAGCACTGGGGAATTCAACCCCCATGATCCTAAAGGCTCTGTGGAGCTCTGTACTGTAGGGTAACTGTAAATGTAGGTAGTTGTACAGGAATCTTATCATGTTAGGTGATTTGTGCTTTGTATTGTACCATATGAAGAGATACATTACCCTGGCCTACCTCACTATTAGTGATGCTAACTCACATTGATCAGTAGATTAAGGTGATGACAGTTTGACCCTTCTGTCGTGAAGTTACAGTTTCCCTTTGTGAAAAGAGAGTAGTCTCTATGATACTACTTTGGCACTAATATGAATGTTCAGTTCCCTGTCATCCATTCTCCTAATGCTGTTTTGTAATTTTTACCTGAATCAGTAACTTCATTAGGGTTTATAAAACTATCATTTTTCTAATTCTAGGATTTGATCATTATATTTTAAATGGTGAATTTATTAAGCAGAGGGGAAATAAATCAAAAAATATATTCAAACTTCAATTTAAGCTTAACATTGTTGTCATTTTTATCATTTTTGACATATTTTTATTATCTCTCTTGGGAAGTCTCAATATCCAGTGTTTTTGTTCTCTCAGTAGAGATGAACTTTTTAAATTCATTTTACTTCTTTTGCTGAAATTTTTTCAAGTAAATGTATACACAACATGACATTCTATCTCTAAATTCTTCTATGTACAGCTGTAAAAATAAATTTTTCTTATGTAGCAAGTCCTTTCTATCATTTAATACCTAATCGATATTCACATTAACCTGATCGTCCCTAAATTGTCACTCATACCTCTTTGTTCAAATCAGGATACAATCTGGAATCATACATTGTATCTGGTTACTATGTTCCTTAAAATTTATTTAATCCAAACAGTCCTCTTTTTTAAAAGTGCTTAAAAAGAATTTATTCTTTTAAGTAGTTTAAACACTTCCCTTGCAATCTTGCTTAGAAGGTTTAGGTATAGCAGCCTAGCTCTACCTAAATGATCATCAAATATGAATTAGTGACAACTGAGCTACTAAGGTTTAATTCCAACACGTTGAGGCCAGTAAGCCTGAGGATAATACTTTGAGGAAGTGGGCAGAGTAAATTCCTCCTTTCCTCTTTAGTTGTTAGTCACAGTTGCAGGGGCTTAGCGTTAGTTGCTCAGTCCTATGTAAAGAAGAGAAAAGCTCATTCACCAGGGAACAATACTAGCCATCATTCTAGCCCCACTCAGTGGTCTAATGCCAGTTTCCGCGGAGGCAATAAAAATGAGCAAATCTACCTTTTGGATAATTTCACTGGCATCAAACAATCCCCAGTGGGCAAAAATATAGAAGATACTGTAATTTGATTGCAGTTACCTTTATCAATTATAGATGATCAATTTAAGTGGCAACAAAGTGAGTCATTTGGTGGAGTGATTCTGTATTTCACAGAGCTTTATCCTTCAACCTTCCCTGGGTCACTCAGCTAAAGATAGTCTGTTTCCTTCAGTGGATTGTACATTCTCTTTCTCTTTTAAATTTTATTTTTATTTCTTATATGTTTTAAATTTTATTTTTCAGTTGCAGTTTACTTTCAACACTGTTTTGTATGTTTCAGTTGTATAGCATAATGGCCAATCATATACTTTTTATAGTAATCTTCTGATTTTTTATGTGGTGCCATATAGAGTTATTACAATATTACTTATCTTACTTCCCATGCTGTACTCAACATTCCTGTGACTGTTTTTTAACTACCAGTTAGTATTTTTTAGCCCTTTCACCTTTTTCACCCAGCAGCACTATCCCTCTACTTTTTCTTCCTTCTAGTTATGAGTCTGTTTCTATAATATTCGTTAATTTTGTTCTTTAGATTCCACATATAAGTGAAATCGTATGGTATTTGTCTTTCTCTCTGACTTATTTCAGTTAGCATAATACTGTCTAAATACATCCATGCTGTTGCAAATGGTAAAATTTCTTATTTTTTTGGCTGAATAATATTTCATTGTACTTATATACCACCACTTTTTATCCACTTGTCTATTGATGAGTGCTGGGGTTGCTTCTGTATTTTGACTATTGTAAATAACGGTGTGCTGAACATATTTTTTGAATTAAACAGCCCTCTTTTCATGACATTGCCTTGCCATTTTCTTGTATAATGTCCCACCTTAGGATTTTACTGATTGCCTCTTAAGAGTATCTTCAATTTGTTCTTCTACCCTGTGTATTTCCTGGAAACTGGAAATTAGATCTAAAGGCTGAACTAAAATACAGTTGAACCTTTTTGTCAAGAATTCAGCCCTGGGTGGTGTGACTCAGTGGGTTGAGCACTGGACTGTGAAGCAAAGTGTTGCTGGTTCGATTCCCAGTGAGGGCGCATGCCTGGGTTGCAGGCTGGATCCCCTGTAGGGGGCATGCAAGAGGCAACCACACATTGATGTTTCTCTCCTTCTCTTTCTCACTCTCTTCCCCTCTCTCTAAAAATAAATAAATAAAATCTTAAAAAAAAGAAAAAAAGAATTCATCTTAGGTGATTCGTGCTTTGTATTGTACCATATGAAGAGATACATTACCCTGGCCTACCTCACTATTAGTGATGCTAACTCACATTGATCAGTAGATTAAGGTGATGACAGTTTGACTCTTCTGTCGTGAAATTACAGTTTCCCTTTGCAAAAAGAGAGTACTTTCAATGATACAACTTTGGCACTAATATGAATGTTCAGTTCCCCGTCATTCATTCTCCTAATCCTGTTTTGTAATTTTTACCTGAATCAGTAACTTCATTAGGGTTTATAAAACTATCATTTTTCTAATTCTGTCATTCCTTCTACAGTAGCTGGCATTTGATTAAACAAAACTCCTTTTCATCAACTGGGACGATTTGGTACCGTGAAATAAAATTCTGCTGCAAAGAAAGGTTAAATGTTAAATTCTTTACTTTTTTTATTCCCAATTTCAAAGGAGTTCCCAATTTATTCCCAATTTCAATTTCCTTGCTTTCTCTTTTTTGATATCCTTATGGACTAATGGATTTTCATGAATTGAATATATTAATCAATTACAATTATTCTTATTTGCACTCAATTTGTTTTCTATTCAGTTCATTACAACTGTACTCAATGATAATCTCTTGTAGTTGGTTCCTATGTCTGTTAGACTAACTCCATTAAATTTTGAGCACTTCCTTACTTCCTTGAACAGCAAGATACATAGCTTTATTTCATAGCTTCCTTGTCCCAAATGTCAGTCAGACATGTTGCAAACGAGCCCTAGTTTCTTTTAGTGGGCAATGGTATTAGACACCAGAATGCTGGCCCTTAAAATGTCAACTGTTACTGGAGTGACAATATTTATAGACCTCATCAATGTTCTGTTTAGTTTTTCAATTTTGATATTGATGGTTTGAATGATGAAAATTCATATGTTATGGGGTAGCTGTGTTTTAAAAATTGGTTCACAAAATAGAATCAGACTCATAGATACAGAAAACAGACTGATAATTTTGAAGGGCTGGGTGAAAAAGGTGAGGAATTAAGCAAAAAAAAAAAACAAACACACACAACAAAACAGGCAAAACAACAACCCAAAACTCAGACACAGATAACATATGGTGGTTATTAGAGGGAAGGGGGTCAGGGGGTTGTAAAAAAGGGTAAAAGGGAGATAAATGGAGATCGAAGGAGACTTGACTTTGGGTGGTAACCACACAATATAGTATGCAGATGGTATAGAATTGTGCACTTGAAGTCTATATAATTATTAACTGATGTCACTCCAATAAATTCAATAAAAATTTTATGAAATTAATACGTTCACATCAGTTTTTTCCATTCAGTTTTAACATTATTGTGTTTTAAAGTAGCAAACTGAATTTATAGTTGTGTCTTTACTGTTATACTGAAAATTTTGACCACCAATAACATTACTTTATGTTGTAATATAAAGAAAATAACAGTATTGATATGCTACAAATAAAATCAATTGAAGTTTAATTTTTTGTAATTTTGCAGCATAGTTTGATTTTAATGGAAGAATAAATTTAATTACTTTTTTGTTGATCTTATTTAATAACTTTCCTTTGTAATATGTGTTTTTTCTGTTTTGTTTTTGTCGTAGGTTGATCATTTTGGATTTAAGACTGATAAAACTTTTAAACAGCGTTACCTAATAGCTGATAAACACTGGAAGAAAGAGGGTGGGTCCATACTTTTCTACACTGGTAATGAAGGGGACATTATCTGGTTTTGCAACAATACGGTATGTGAAGTTCTTTAAAAAATAACAGGAAAATAAACTCAATAGAAGAACAGAAAAATAATATGAATAGGCAGTTGACAAAAGAGTAAATACAGATATCCAATAAAACTGCATGTTCAGCCTTAAAGAATTACATATGAACAGAATGAAATACTATATTTGGACAACTGAATTTTAAAAGGTTTTTATAAATTCCAACTTTTTCTAGAGTGAACAAGGATATGAGGGGAATGGGAACAGAAATATTATGTCACATAGTTATTTTATTTTTATTATGGTCTCTGGAATGTAAATACAAAGGAACAAATTTTTCTGTCCTTTTTGAGTATTTTATGCTCAGAGTCCAGGACTGCTAGGCACATAGTAGGTGCTCAATAAATATTTGTTTAATGAATGAATGAATAAAACCCAATTAAAGCCGATGCAAATGAAAAAAAAATACAAGTTTAATTGTCAAATAAGAATAGATGAAGGTAAAGTTGTAGCTATGTTTTAATTTAGCTTTACTGTTTTACCATTTTTTGTGTATTTATGAGAGTGAAGAAAGGTATAGCTGTTAGCTTGCTTTCTTTACCATATTGTCTATTATCTTTTATAATAATACTTAAATTCATTAACAAAACTTAATTAAGAAGGACATATGAAATCTGTCAGAGCTATGCAATGTGACTGTTGTACTAAAAACCTAGATGTGAATTACCTTAAAGTGGGGACTGAATCCTACTTTTCCACTGCCAATGTCTGATGTCATATCTGGTACTCAGGGTGTCTCAGTAAATGCTCAACTGAACTAAACTGAAAGCAAAGGTATGAACCCAATTATACGGTGTTTTCACCTGCCACCTTTCTGATTATTTCCTCAGGAATGTTAAGGGTCTAAATATGTTACTTGGTAATAGAATAATTCCCTGAGCAATGAGATGCTGGGATGTCTATCCTCTTAGATCAGAGACGGAGGAAGTCAGAACTCATCTTCTGTGAGATTCCTGCGCTGGCATTCTGTGAATCAGCTGGGCCTGCGCTGTCTCCCTTTCTCTTTCTTCTGTGACTTCCCTTTTATGCCAAGGTCACAGGGCAGCTTCTCCAGCCCAGTTGTTTTCCCAGCTCCTGTTCTTCCGTGTCAGAGGCAGGGAGCTGTCCCTGGCGCCTCCGGCCCCCGCTGCTGTCACGGGCACTGCAGTGTAACTGCAGGCTTGCCCGGGAGTGTGGCCTCAGAAGTGGTAGAAGGGAATAGACAGTGTAGGAGGAGCAGTTCCAGAGAACTGAGCAGATAGAGCCAGACCCTAGCATGACAGGTCCTAGTCCTTCCCCATCATACACACTGTTCTTTACTTACTAAAAAGTTCCAGTTGCGTATTCACATGTTCTAAACATTCATTTATTGAGAGGCAATATATCATAGCAGTCGACAGTGAAGACTCCAGCTGATTGACAAGGTTTGAATTTTTCTTTTGCCATTATGCTGTGTGACTCTGGGTGAGTTTCTTATTCGGTGCCTCAGTTTTCTCATCTGCTATGTGAGTATGATAATAATGTCTAGCTTACAGAGTTATTGTGAGGACTGAATAAGAATCAGGCGCTTAGAACAATGCAGGCAATCATGTTACCAAATATTAATATATTATGTGGACCTCGTATGAAAAATAAAATGCCCCTGAAGTTGAGGCAAATAGTCATTTACTACAATGTGAATCAGTTCAATTAAATTGCTTCCCCTCAACACCTGGGGTCAAGTCCACAGAGGTCTGGCTGTTGTGACGGATGGTCCTTTCCTTTAAGGAGCTCATAGTCTGGTAGGATAAGAGGCACGTGTAAGGAAACACTGCAGTGCGGTAACAGAGGTCTATCCCTAGCACAGGGGTGTTGAGAGGAGGGCGCGATCACCGCCACGGCGAGGCAGGCAGAGGGTGGGAGCTTGAGCTGGGTGTTACAGGGTCCACAGGCAAATGGCAGGGAATGAGCAGGGTGTTAAGGGGAGGAGTGAAGTTACTGAGATCATCACAGACATCAGGTTAAATTCTCCATATTCACATGCATACAGCTCTTTCAATTGTCATTACTGATCAAAACAAAAACTTTTAGAAGTTCCTAGCCTTTGTTAGAGAGCAGCAGTACATTAAAAAGCAAAACTCTGCAATAGGGATGACAAATAGTTTTCATGTGTGCTAACTCTAAATCTAATCGATGGATGCTGGCTGCCTAGAATGCTTGCTTGAGAACATCCTGAGGACGCCTCTGATAAGAGTGAAAAATTGCAGTGACTGATTAATGACCGGCATTATGTGTGGAAATAGGAATGTCTTACAACACTGGGTGATTGTGCTCTGGAGACAGACAGCCCATGTGTGAATTTTGATGCTGCTACTTTCTAGCTGTCTGACCATGACAGGTTATTTACATTCTTGTGCCTCAGTGACCTTGTCTGTAAAATGGGAATAATCAAAATGCATAGCTCTTAGATTGTTGTGAAAATTAAGTGAATTGATACTATATATAAAGTGTTTACAGCGGTGCCTGACACATTGTAAGCACTCAATTAATATTACCTGTTTCTAGTTACTATTTTTTTCAAGTAAATAAGATTAGTATAAAAACCATGTGAGTCCAGTATGCTTATTTGTACTGTTTTCTCTTTTAAGTTGTAAATGTCTAAGAGTAGACAGTGAACTTAGATATCCTCAGCTTTTTCTTAGACTATATTGCACACAGTGCAATTTGAATACTATTTTAAACAAAATGTTCATTCATGGCTAGAGCATGAGAATAAGGAGGGTTGGAATGAATCGTGGGTAAGCAACTTGAGCTGATTTTTAATTGTTTCACTTTAATACAGTGTATTAAGTGCCACTGATTGATGTGCCACAGTGAAACAGCAATCGGTTCATTTATCTGTGGAATAAGTATAAGTTATGCAGTTCTTAGCTCTTTTTGGTTTGATTTAACATCTGTTTCATATGAGTTGCAAAAGGTAATGACTTTTTCCATATCCTGATTTTATCCTCTAAATTTGTAAATTGTTCCTAGGGGTTCATGTGGGATGTGGCTGAGGAACTGAAAGCTATGTTGGTGTTTGCTGAACATAGATACTATGGAAAGTCTCTACCCTTTGGTGCCAATTCATTCAAGGTAAATATCCTGTTTACTTTTAAGTTTAAAGGGTTTTAAAAAATTTTTAGAGCATTTTCTAATTGCAGCCCCACTGTAACAAAGAAATAATAGCTTTAACTTGAACTGCCTGAAATTTCAATAATTTGTATTTTTCTTTCACTTTTATTTACAATTTGAACAGATTGAGACTTTTTAAAACCATATTCTTATCATTTCTAATGTTGACCAGCCTTTAAGATAGTGCGATGAGGCCAGCCTTCCTAGGTGAATCTTAACCTATGGCTGCAGAGACTGTCGGGGGAGCTTTCCATTGTTTCAAAAATGTTGGTAAATTATACACCTAAAATTATTGTGCTACCCCTAGGAAATATATGAGAACTGAAATGTTTGTTTAATAAGGTGTTTTCAGTAAAATAAGGACAATCTCTATGATTCAGTAAGGCCAACTGGCCACTTGGATTCCCTTTTGGCCTTTCCTGTTCTCACAGGGAGCTTTCGCCTGGGCCATAGGCTGTATACCTAAAAGACCTTTTCCTCAACTGAGTCATTTCTGTAATATCCTTGTGATTCTGGCTATAAGATTTTGCCATCCGTACTACTATTTACTTAAATTTTCCCTTAAGCAGCTCACTTTTCAAACCTAACACCATCTTAACAAGGGTTTTATGTACCAGTTATTTTTTCTGAATTATATTAAAACACATATTAAATTAAAAATGTATACCTAAGATAATTATATATACCACCAGTATACAGATACTATGTGTCTGGGAAACTCTGAGTTAGAAGATCTTGGGGTCAACTATTTTTCTTAGCCGTCTATTTTAAAAATTTTTAAATTTTTGTTCTCTGAAGCTTTATTATCTTGTATTATAAATAAATAAAAAGTTCTTATGTTATCAATGAAAAGCAGAACAACTTAATATTTGTTGGGCTACATGGCAAAATCTATGGTTTAGCTTATTGTTTTGCATAATTATCTGATTGCGGGGAGATGACAGGTCCTAAAACCATTGGGAAGTAGTCAGCTTGTTGCAGCTGGAAACATAACCTCCTCTCTTTGGTTCCTATGGAGCATACTTTCTAGCAAAGTGGAGCTAAATACTCTATTTGATAAGCTTCTCTTTGTGTACTGACAGAATTCATCAGTTACCTGGGGGGATATTACCAATACTATGCCAGAATTGGAAAAAAATTTTCACTCACATATACGTGGTGCCATGAAAACAAAGTAAAGAATAGTGACAGACAATGAGAGGGGAGGTGAGGAGTCAGAAGGTAAAGGCATAGGTGATGTGCATAGGTGACGTACATAGGAACAATGGGAACCGTGTGATCCTGAATGTGCCAAATGGTGGGAAGAGTCAAACAGAGCGGTGAGACCAAAGCATGAAGGTCCAGTAGGCTAGCCTAATATAGGTATACAGCTGTATCAGTTATCTATCACTGTACCTATTTCCTCAAGCCTTAGTGGCTTAAAACAACAACAAACATTTATTACCTCACAGGAATTAAGAGTGGCTCAGTTAGGTGGTTCTGTTTCAGGGGCTCCCATGAAATTAAGATGTTATTTGGTGCTGCAGTCATCCGAAGGCGTGACTGTGGCAAGAGGTCCCTCTCCTCTCATGGAGGGTCCACATGAGTGACAAATTGCTACTGGATGTTAGTGAGAGGCTCAGCTTGTCTCCCTCTGCAGCAGGTTTCTACAAAGACTTGCTTGAGTGGCCTTATGACATGGCAACTAGCTTCCCTCAAATTTGACAATGCAAAGAGCAAGGTGAAACAACAGAGCTTTTTATGACCTAACATTGGAAGTCACATATCATTTCTGTCACATTCTATTTGTTAGAAACAAGTCACTAAGTACAGTCCATGTTCAAAAATAGAGGAATTAGACTTCCCCTTATGAAGGGAGATACCTCATTAATCTCCCTAGCTTAGCGAGACTGTGTTTAAGCTTCACTTCTCTACATTACAGTGGGAAAACTGTCCTTGGGCAGAGAGCTAGATGATCATGGAACTTACTTTATGATTATCCTTCGCTGAGCTATCAGTGACTTGTGTTGCTGTTTTACAATGCCCGAAAATAGTTATTCCATAGGTTGTTTTTTTCTTTGTGTTTACTCTAAATTTATAGTTATTTACAACAGGTATCCTAATTTGTTTCAGTTGTTGGTATATCAGACATAATAATTTTTCTGATAAAGAAGAGTCAATTTTATTTCTGCTAATGATTCTTTCTTCAGTTTCCCACAGGATGTAGCTTACCTTTGCCTATGTGGTAGATATTTTAAATTTTTGAAGATTTGAAATAAATTTTAATATAGCAGTTGCATATGAGGCTTAGCATTATATTCTATTACATTTGCTGTTAAATGTTATTTACAGTTTATTGTTTCTACAGTCTCAACACGGTCTTTGGTAAATAGCATTTAATAGAAATTATATTTCGATGCAAAATACATTATATTCTTTGCGCAAACTTAAAATCATTTTAAATCAGCATTGCTATGGCTTTGACCAGGCATTTTAACACAATTGCCTAAAAGTCTATTTGGAGAAAAGCTTATCTGACTCTGTTTTTTTTTCCTGGATCTATACTATGCCTAAACTGCTATTATGCGCACACTCATACCAATGTTCTTTGTTATTTATTTTTTTAGGATTCCAGACACTTGAATTTTCTGACATCAGAACAAGCTCTGGCTGATTTTGCAGAGTTAATCAAACACTTGAAAAGGACAATCCCAGGAGCTGAAAATCAACCTGTCATTGCCCTGGGGGGCTCTTATGGAGGCATGCTTGCAGCCTGGTTCAGGATGAAATATCCCCACATGGTGGCTGGGTAAATGCATTTATTTGGACATGAGAACTTCTAAATGGTTGTCAAGGCAAACTTAGAGATTTGTTTTGGGTAAAACATGTTCCATTCTATTATACTGAGATTTCTAGTTTCTATCTCATTAACAGGGATTATTTTTTCTCACCATTTTTGTTCAATATCAGTGTTAATTTTAAAACTTGAATTTGATGAGTTACTTTTTTTTTTCTCCTGTTTTCTTTCCTTGTTTTATTATCATTTAGAGCTCTTGCAGCCTCTGCCCCCATCTGGCAGTTTGAAGATATGGTACCTTGTGGTGCATTTATGGAAATTGTAACTACAGATTTTAGGAAAAGTGGCCCAAATTGTTCAAAGAGCATCCGCAGTTCCTGGGATGCCATTAACCGACTTGCAGTAACAGGTGAGCTTTAATTGAAAGAATAGAATCATGACTTTGTCAACCTTTCATTGTCAGATTCAACATTTCCCACTTTTTCTATAAATGTTTTATTCAAGTATAACTTACATATTTAAATATAACATAGGAAACTACACAAATCAAAATGCACAGTTTGATGAATTTTCACAAAACAAATATGTAGTGTAATCAGCATCTAGATCAAGAAATCCCCTTGTGCCCTTTCCAGTCACTTCCTCAGCATTTCCCAGGCTAACCACTATCCTGACTTCTAAAACCATAGATTAATTTTGCTTGCTCTTGAATTTTTTAGTCATTGAAATTGCATAGTATGTATTTTTGTGTATGCTGTCTTTCGCTCATTGTGTGTTTGTCAGAAACATCCATTTGTTTTGTTCAGTTGTAGTTTGTGCCTTCTCATTGCTCTATAGTGTTCTACTTTATCTATCTATCTATCTATCTATCTATCTATCTATCTATCTATCTATCTATCTATTTCAATAGTATGTAGAAAACAGGAATAATTCAGAATATGAATTCTGGTAAGCTCCACAAGGATAGGCAGCTTGTGTATCAAGGATTATCCAGTTGCTCTAAAATATCTTACTGATGTTGAAAAAGTATTCTGGGAGAAATGGTATAGGAGATTGAATTTTCTAAAACCTCAGGTGAAGAATCTATAAAACCTTATGTCGAGCAGTGCTTTATAGATTTCAACATTGTGATTTTATTTTCAGGTACTGGCTTGCATTGGCTTTCTGAAGCCCTTCACTTATGCACCCCATTAAAAAGTTCTCAGGATGTTCAGCATTTGAAAGATTGGATCTCTGAAACCTGGGTAAATCTGGCCATGGTGGACTACCCTTACGAGTCTGACTTTTTACAGCCTTTGCCTGCTTGGCCAATCAAGGTAACAGGAAAATGTTTTTTAATCAATTTTAATAACATACTTTTAATTTGTGTGTGTGCGCATTCTGTGCCTTTCAACGTCGGATGAAATCCCAGTGACAAAGAGTCAAATCTAGGCAGCAATCCTGGCTTCTATCACCTTCTGCTTACCCAAACTTGGACGTGTTATGTAACTTTTCCAAACCTCAGTTTCTTTGTTTAAGTAATGGAGATAAAAATGCATAGGTTATAATTATATGAATTAGAAATAAGATAAATAGTTGCTGTTAAATGGAATAGTAGTATGTGTCAAGTTCTGTGTTATGCACTTTGCATATCCAATTTATTTAATATTTGTGAGACACATAGAGTTATGTAATATACGGTCAGTGTTTAACGAATGGCAGCTGCTGTCATAGCACTATTAGAATACTAAGTGCTACATACATCATGAAAGGGTGATCCACCTACAGCAGGGTGGAGTGGAAAGAGTATGTGACTCTGGATCCTTTTACTGTCTACCAGCTTAGCTGTGTGATCTTGGGCAAGGCTGTCTTCTTCCAGAGCCTCCATGGCTTCTGTTGCTGAACAGAATAATGATACTTAAACTCCCCATGGGTTTGTGCTGAGGATTGGATAAAATATTGGATGTGAAAACACTCTGGAAAGTATAAAGACACATTATACCATAAATTGTAGGGCTTTCTTCTTTAAAACTGATTTTAGAGAAGAAGGAAGAGAAAGAAGGAAACATTGATGTTCCATTTTTTTATGCATTCATTGGTTGATTATTTTTTAAATTATATTTTATTAATTATGCTATTACAGTTGTCCCAATTTTTTCCTCTTTGCCCCCCTCAACCCAGCACCCCCCACCCCTTAAGGCAACTCCCACACCATTATTCATGTCCAAGAGTCACATGTATAAGCTCCTTGGCTACTCCATTTCCTGTACTGCACTTTACATCCCCATGGCTATTCTGTTACTACCTATTTGTACTTCTTAATCCCCTCACCTCTTTATCCGTTCGCCTACAACCCTCTCCCACCTGGCAATCATCAAAACCCTCTCCATGTCCATGATTCTGTTTCTGTTCTTATTTGCTTAGTTTGTTTTTTAGATTCAATTGTTGATAGATATGTATTTATTGCCATTTTATTGTTCATAGTTTTGATCTCATTTTTCTTAAATAAGTCCCTTTAACATTTCACTTAATAATGGTTAGGTGGTCATGAGCTCCAGTATGTGCTCTGACCAGGGTTCAGACCACAATCTTGTCATATCAGTTCAATGCTCTAACCAACTGAGCTTCCTGACCAGGGCTAGGGTTCTTTTACACCAAAATTTGCTATTGCTTGTGCTCTTTTTAAAACATTTCTTTGTAAAGAACATTACTTTTAGTTTTAAAAACAAAGGTTGGCCAACTTGATGGTTATTAAGTTTAGAGAATATAACTGACTCTACAGCTAGAATGAGTGCTGGAAATGTAAATAGAATTGGTAATACAGAACCAGGTTTCAAAAGCACTTTAAATATAATGTCCCTTTGAACTATTGAACGCACACCTTGCTTAAAATTTTGTAACCCAAGCGGAACAGGGTCATTTGCTATTAGAGATATTTTTTCTTCATCTAAAAAGTAGAATGACTAGTTGGTGTCCTGCACATTGCAGGCCAGAGGTCAATCTGTCTTAAATTAAATTGCATTTTGACAATACAAAGTTATTTAAAAGAGCAGATCTTTCTCATCGTAAGAAAACCTGAATCAAAATAATGAGAAAAACTAAATCTGAACCAATTTTTCTTTATATATGTCTATGTGCTAATAATGCATTATCCTTTTATATTATTTTACTAATTACAAAGCAGTGTCATAGACACTATCTCATTTAATCCCCCCTAAAATACTGTGAGAAAGGAGGTATTATCTCAGTTTTATGGAGAGGAAATTTAAGCTCAACAAAGAGGTGGTGGATGTGGGATTGGAACTCAGGCCTGCCATTGTTCTGAGCCTATGATGTATGTACCACATAGCCTTGGAGCAGGACAAGATTTCGCTAAAGGTTTCAGTGGATTGCTGGCCCCAGTGTGACAGCTATCAGATTTAATTCTGCCCTCTGTAAACAAAGTGAGAATTACATCTGCGTCTTTGCCCACCTGAGAACAAATGAATTGTCAGATGGTAAAAACATGGGGAACTCTTGTTTTTTGGAACAGGATTTGGCAAACTCTCTATAAAGGACTAGACAGTAAATATTGTAGGCCTTATGGGCCATATGGTTTGTGTACAGATACTGAAGTCTGCAGTATAGTAAGAAAGTAGCTGTAAACAATATATAAATGAATGCGGATGACTGTGTTCTGATAATAAAATTATAAAATGGACAGTGGGCTGGATTTGGCCTAGAAGCTGTAGTTTGCCAACCCTGATTTAGAAAAAAGTCTAGAAGAATACAGTTTTTCAGTGTTTGTTTGTTTATGACTTGGAACAGTGAAGAGACTAACTATGATTTTCTCCCCACTTCTTTAATGTTCCTTTTAAGATATTTTTATGTTGAATTTTAAACGTAAATAAATATTCCTTTTTTTGGCTCTCTTAAATAATCACTCAAAATGAATGGCGTATATTTCAAATATTTTGTCTTCTGTTTTTGATTTAGCACAATCCATCTTTTACCCTTTGTATTTATACATTATAAAAGTTCATTTTTAAGGCAAGATAATTGTGTCTGCCCCGCAGTCACCTTTTACTTTTTTTATCCAGGACTAGTTCTTGTCATTTTCTTCAATTATTTCTTACTGATTTTATCCTTCCTTTGACATATTACAGAATTTTTGATTGCTTATAATATAGTTATGATTCTGTTTCTTATCTGTACCGCACCAATAATTACCTTCTTTCTCTCCCTCTTGCTTAAGAAATGTTGATTGGCCAGAGCATTCTTCAGTTTCATCCTATCTGATTTAAGAATTTTTCCTCTATGTATCTCTTTCCCAGACTTCTAGGCTCAGACCACTGTCTTTAACTGTTCATTCTATTTCTCCTTTCTTGACCCCCATTTTGTTTTCTTAACCAACTAATCCCTAGGAACACTACCCAGTTGGGGACCTCCCTTTCACTTGGATAGTTAATTTAATCAGGACTCCTCTTCCCTCTGATACATTTCCTCCTTTTTAAAGGGCTGACAAACAGCCATTCTTTTCTTTTTTTATTTTAAAACTTCCATTTTATTTTATATTAAATTTATTGGGGTAACATTGATTAATATGATTATATAGGCGTCAAGTATACATTTCTGTGATGCTTGATTTGTGTATTGCATTGTGTGCCCACCACCTGAAGTCAAATCATCTTCCATCACTATATGTTTGGCCCCCTTTACTCGTTACTACACCCCTGACCCTTCCGTCTGGTAACTGCCATACTGTTGTCTGTGTCCATGAGTTTGAGTCTGAGATCCCTCTCAGACTTAGGATTGTGAGATAATAAACAACAGTTGGGTTATGGTAGAAAGCAGTTGATTTCCAGTTCTGTTCAGACCTTGTAAAGTTCTGAAGGATCCATAGGCAGCGACTGAATGCCATTTTCCGTGTCAACTCAACTATCATTCTTTTTGATTTGTCTTTGGACTTTGCACACTGAGACTCCATTTGCTTTGTGTACTGTTAACAGCAGCTGCAACATTCATGCAGAAATAATCATGAACTTGGCTGATAGAACACACGGAAGAAGAGAAGAGTGAAATAGAAAACGCCTCCGTCAGTGGACTGCTCTGTTAGCGTAAAACTACTAGGCCTCTTCTGAGGTAAAAGAGCAGTTTTAAAGGATATTGTAGAGTTTGTTTATTTAGGAATCTTTTTTTTTTTTTTTTTTTTTTTTTAGCTGATAACTCACCCAACCTTTTAGCTTCGCCTTCTGAGCATGCAGATAGATGTGAAATAATAAGATATGAAGTGGAAAAGCTCTTCCGTTTGTCTTGGTTTGATAATGTATGCGACCTCTCTGGGTGGTTTTAAGCGGTTTAGGTGCATTCTATGAAAAGGGAGCTTTTAATGACAAAACTAATGTGATTATCTGAGTGAGTGTGAGAGGGGTATTGAAGCCTTAGAGAATGAAAATCTGTTAGAAAAGCTGAATGTATCTGCTTAATCCTTTCTCTCATGTGGCTGGACCATTCTGAGAGAAGGTTGGTTTTCTTTTTTTTGTTTGTTTTTTTAATTCAATCTTTATTGTATTTTTTTTACATTACCTTTTAGTCCCCTTATACCCCCTCTCCCCAGCAATCATACACTTTTGTCCATGTCCATGGGTCCTTTTTCTTTTTGCTCAATCTGTCCACCCACTAACCTCCCCTGCCACTAGCTGTCATCCTGCTTTCCATCTATGAGTCTGTCCACATTTTCTTTACTGGTTCAGTTTGTTTACTAGATTCCACATACGAGTGAAATCATATGGTATTTTTCTTTCTAATATATGTTTTAAAAATTGTTGTTCTATTGCAGTCCCAATTTCCCCCCATTTCTCTCCTTGGCCCACCACTCCCACTCTCAGAATCAATCCCCATCTATTGTCCATGTCCATGGGTCATTTATACCTGTTCTTTGACTAGTCCCTTCTCCTTTCTCCCATCCTGTGGTCACTGTCAGTCTGTTCCTTCTTCTCATGCCTCTGGTTCTGTTTTGTTTGTTTGTTTGTTTGTTTTGTTCATTAGGTTCCTCTCATAGGTGAGATCATATGGTATTTGTCTTTCACTGTCTGGCTTATGTCACTTAGCATAATGCTCCCCAGTTCTACCCATGCTGTTGTGAAATGTAGGAATTCCTTCTTTCTGTCTGCTCTATAGTATTCTGCTATGTGAAATGTACCACAGTTTTTTGATCCACTCATTTACTGATGGGCACTTAGGCTGTTTCTAGCACTTGGCCATTGTAAATAAGGCTGCTGTGAACATAAGGGTGCATGGGTTCTTTCGAACTGGTGTTTCAGGATTCTTAGGGTATAATTCCAGAAGTGAAATTGCT